GAAGGTATATTTTCGGAAATGACGTGAAGTGTACGTATTTCGCTCTGTATCGTCTCTTTGATGACAATGTACCTTAATGTCACTCCACTCCCTCAGCAGCACGCCCAGAATCTTGAAAATAATTTCCCAATATCCCAAAGTCGCTCCCATAACATTAGATCCATCGTAGCAGTATATTCGAAGTCTCACGCATGCGCAGTGATCCTATCCTGCACATGGGACGAAAGTCCGTCATGTTACTGCAGGTTATGTCATGTAGCGTTAGCGTGTAGAGCACATTCTGGGGTAGTTTTTTAGAATATTTTAAAGAAACATTCGCGCTATATTTTCGAAAATTACGTCTGATGTGCTTATTTCATTCTACATCGTCTCCTGGGTGACAATGTATATTTGTGTCACTCCACTCTCTCACCAGCAAGCCTAGAATCTTAAAAATAATTTCCTAAAATCGCGTGCATAACGTTAGATTCAATTTAGTGTCGTAGGAGTGTTGGTTTTTCGCGCATTGGTCGAAAGTCGGTCATGTTATTGCAGATTATTTAGATCACATATAATGTTAGCATCTAAAGCACATTCTGGGATAATATCTTACCGTTTTTTTTAAATAATTTTCGCGTTGGCAAATATGTATTTTCTAAAATGACGTAAAGTTTAACTATTTCGCTCTGCAACGTTTTCCGAATCACGTGGGATGCTCCGTTTCATTTTCGCACTTTCACCGTGCAAAAAGGCTTTTAATTCGACGCAGGTAGAAAAAAGTAATCTTTACAGAAAAATTCGATATCGTAACTGTTTTTTATCGTTTTCATTTCATATTGATGGATGCTCCGCTTCATTTTTGCACGTACTTTCATCATGCATAAAGGTTTTTAATTTGCCAAATCAGCACGAGACAATAGTTTTACAAAAGTATTCGATATCACGTCAACATTTTCCAAAAAATTTTACTTTGTGTTGACTTGACAAAATTAAAAATGCTTTTGTATAGTAAAAATGCATGCATGAATAAAATAGGGCATTCCATCCTCAAGGATGAAAACGATGTGGAACTATTGTTATCGTAATACTAATTTCATTTTTCAAAAATTACAGCATACTAACTGCTCCAATTTATATGATAAAATTACGTGCGAAAATAAAGTGGAAAGTTGGTCAGTGCGAAATGAAAGTGAAAAGTTAAATTACCGTTGCTAATTATATTGAAAACTCAAATAATAGGTAACGTATTTTTCAAAAAATTATTCGCAAACTACGCTTGCACCTATAACACTCTTTTCTAAAAACTCTTTGATGTACCGAGAACACAAGCGGTTTGAAGAATTCATGAGAAAAGTAGCAAGAGCCTATTTTGCGAGAGAATGCGAATATCGACAACGTGGCATTCATATTTATGTAACGTCTATATGTAAGAAAATTGAAGTGACAACGTAACACACACACTTGCATAACATCTGTGAAAAGATGATAGCATGTTAGCGCCTATTTGACGATTGTCTTTATTCTGTAAGTATCTATATGTACATACACAAATTCGATATCGTCGGTAAATAATGATAACCTTTTTTACTTTTTGATGATCGCTCTGCGTTATTCACACTTATCAAGCACATTTCGTCGCTCGCTCAGACATCCCCTTAAATTTAAAAATTTCAAATACTTGTTGAGATTCACTTAAATTGTTCCATGACGTATTAATTTTATGAATTCTTACTGATTTTGCAATGATTTCCAATTTATGACATGTGATTTAAAGATTGAGGCTAGCCATGATATGTTATCAAGTCGGAACGCTATACATAAAGTTATTTTATATTCCAAATTGAACAATGTGTACGATGCTTCAGATATGGCGATACAGTGAGAGTGCTAGAATTTATTGCATTGATTCCATATATTGTCATTTTTAGCACGCAGAGCAAGATATTTCTTTACACTTAGGCTCGTATTAATAG